TTCTTTTCTGCTTACAATCAGTATAAACAGTCACTGCTACTTGAAGGTACCCAATAAATATTTGTCAAATGGGAAAATGAATTGATAAATGTGCTTCATTATTGAGAATCTGAATCTGAAGTTCTGGTAAAGCCAATCCTTTTTGGAAAACTGAATTAGCCCTTATATAAGCAGTGCTACCTTACACACGGATGTTGTTTAGTATTTTGAATTTGATGAGTAATGATTTTGTGATTTATTTTAAATGATGTGTATAAGGGTATCTAGAATTTAGGCAGGAAAATGATGATCTGGGGTTTTCCTTGGTTTTAGATACTGTTTTTATTTTGTGGATTGTTTCCTTACTCGACTTGATGAATTATCAGGAGTAAATGCCATTTTCTTAGGGCAGGCGAGCTGTGTACTTTTCGTCTCAGTGTGGCACAGACTTCTGGAAAAACTAAGGGTATTTAAAAGAAAAATATAATATAAAGTTCTTTTATCTTTTGTGGATTCTGGAGAAAGTTCATCAAGATTCTGAGCTCTGATAACTTTGCTCTTGAAGCACTTGCAGCCCTGCTTGCCTCTTTTAGAAGAGTTTGCGTACTGATCATAGTGCTCAGTGAAAGGTCATTAGGATAACGTATTTAGTAAACATCTGATAATATAGGAATTTGCAATATCATCTCAGCCACAAGTCATAAATTAGATATGTTGGTTTTTCTTTGAGTTCATTTAATGTTAACTGATACATGGTACCTAAACTGTGTGCAAAATCATTTGTTTTACATGAGACAAAGCCTTTGACAAACACAGTTCACTGAGGAGTGCACTTGTGGGCTGCTGGAGAGATTAGACATCTACATGCTTGATGGAACTTCCATAAGAAAGGTAATGAATCTGGTTTCAAGGAATAGGGAAGACATCATGAAGAAAGGAGCATTTGCTGAACATAAGATTGTAATAGATTTAGTTCACTGGACTCTTCCAGCTACCAGAAGCAGAAATGTGCTATTTCTTGGGCCACCTCAATTAGTGAGGTTTACTGGAAGGCTCTATGGGGAGTAGGAAGGGCAGGAAAACACTCTCTGCAGCTGCTCTGGCAGGCCTCACAGAGAATCAGATACAAGCTCTGGTAATGTGAGAGCCTTTCTGTCATGTCACCGGAAGTCAATGTCTGTTCCTTCACCAGTGGTCTACACTGGAGTCACTCAGCTCTTCTCTGTCTTTGCCTCCATGAAAGCATCCTTTGTATCTTCATGACACTCCTCAAGAGAGAAAAAGCTGTCTTGGCTATCCATTCAACAATGAGCAAGCAGCCCTGCTGCACAAAGCTCATGCCACTGCTTAGGCAGCTTGCCAACTAGTGGATGTGTGTTTTTGGCTTAGGTACTTTATTCCTGGTCCAACAAATTGTGGCCAGGGTGATGGAGTCATATGGTATGGAGCAGCGCTTCTTAAACTTTAGGATGCATACGAATCATCTGTAGACCTTGTGAAAATGTGCCCTTTTGGTTCTGAGGTCTAAGGATTCATGAATTCTGTGTTTCCAACAAGCTCTCAGGTGATGCTGATGTTTCTGGCCCTGCGACCACACTTTGAGCCACAAGAACAGAACATAATGATTTCTGTGTGACTGTAATTACTCAGAAGTCAGGCACTCCATGTGGTGGGTCTGTCGTTATGAGATGACATTTCACGTGGAAGAATAACTGTAAATAAAAGAGTGGAGGAAGATGCAGTATTGATGTCTATATGTGTTTGTGTAAGGCCAATTTTGAAAGTGATTAAGTCCAAAATGAATGAGGCATCTTCAAACCAAAAATCTGGAACAATTTCAGATGTAGTCTTTTAATACCAAAGTTGTTGGGGTTGGCTGTTAGTCTTTTTATGATTTTAATTCTAAGTAAATAAAGAGTGATTTTGATTTTTTCAGTGAGAGATAGTAAGCAATCCAGTACGAATTTAACTTACTCATACTCACTTGAGAGCCTGTCCCATAACTCTGGTCACAGTTTGCCACTAAGTCTGTGCTGTTGGTGAGGATTTGCAATAGGATCTGCAATAGGACTTGGTTGTTTGTTATAAGCCAGAGTCCCTGGTTTGGACACAAAGTGTCAGATTCCTTATTATTCTGGTGCCTTAGGAGAATCATGCATTGCTATAATTGTCTTCATTAGAGATTCACAAATGTGATACTTCAGCACTTAGTCACAGAGATCTTTGAGCCATTAAATGTCTTACATTTATAGAGCAGATCCCAGTTTCAAAGCATCTTTACATTTATTCTAATATTCATTTCATACATATAATCTAATACTGATTAAAAACCAGAGAGATCTTTTCAAAAAACTTATTTAATGTTGCTAGAGTCTAGTGAGTCAGAATTATGAATAATGTCCAATAGAAGATAACTGAATTAATTGTTCAGGTCCTCTGGCTTAATGGTAGATGCGTAAGGAAAAGCAATGTTTTTCCTACTTTTCTCATTTCATTCGTTATATTAGAAGCAAGACCCCATGCTATATTTACATCTAGTCTTCCTCACTCAATGACAAATGGAAGTAAACATTTTAGGTTGTTTTCTTAGCTGAATCTCATCTTCTTCAACTTGTTTTCTTTTAAAAATGACTTATTTTAATTGTAATGATCAAACAAGGAAAAAACATTTTAAATAACTAAATAGTAACATCCTTTTTTCTTCTTTCATTTTTTTAGTTAAACCAAGTAGTTCCCCAATTTGTAAACAGTAGATCTTGAAATGGATTTTCAAAGTTCACCTTATCTTGGTAATCATGTGGAATTCTGACTTACTGAACAGTTAAATGATATGACCATCTTTGACTGCTACATTCTAAGTTGTCAATTGTCAAAGAACAAATGCCGTTTAGTAGAAGTATAGTGAAAAATATGATAACGCTGGAGCCAAACTGATGTTTAAATTCCTTCTTTACACCTATGTGCCATGTTACCTTCGGCAAGTTATTTATTCTCTCTGAGCCTCATTTTTATCATCTATTAACTGGGATGTTCATGTCTACCTTCCAGCGTTATTTTGAGGATGAAAATAAATAATGCATGTAATATATTCAGCATTGACATTACCATTGAACAGAATTTTAATAAATAAAATAAACATCAGGATCTTTTAAGCCTTATGACAAAATGCTATTTTTATATAAAGTTAATAACAAAAGTACTTTTACTTTATATTTGCACAGGAAGAACATTATCCATTCTTGACATGAGTGAAAATTACAGTACTTTGAGCCATTAACAGAAGAGCTGTGATTATCATTGCCACTAAGCTAATAAATCTCTATAGTAGAACTGCCATTGTCAAAAAAGTGTTTTCCCAAAAAATTAAGTGACAATATTATGTACAGTTTATCAACAGAAATTCTAACTTTTAAAATGTAGTCAGTGAATTTAATTTGTGCTGCAGTGACGTAATGTAGAGGAGCAAAGAGAATGCTCGGTTATAAATATCATTCATAATGAGACTTTTTTCTTTTTTTGAGACAGAGTCTGGCTCTGTTGCCCAGGCTGGAATGCAGTGGCACGATCTCAGCTCACTGCAACCTCCGCCTACTAGGTTCAAGTGATTTTTCTGCCTCAGCCTCCCAAGTAGCTGGGACTACAGGTGCATGCCACTGTGCCCAGCTAATTTTTTTTTTTTTTTGTATTTTTAGTAGCGACAGGGTTTCTCTACTTTTTAGTAGAGATGGGGTTTCACCATATTGGCCAGGATAGCCTTGAACTCCTGACTTTGTGATCCACCTGTCTCGGCCTCCCAAAGTGCCGGGATTACAGGTGTGAGCCACCGTATCAGGCCATAATGAGACATTTTATTAATTCATTGTAATCACATGGGACTCTGCAAGTCAGGTTATACCCATATTCTTTTAGAGAGTTTGGAATGGAAATAATGTGTATGAATGGAATATTCCACTATCATTCAAATAAGGGAAGTCATATAAAATATCTTCCGTCTCAAGTGGATGACAGATATTCTCATTGAGCTTACATATGCAGTGTCATATACCCCCTCATAGAAAGATGAAGACCTGTTTTTGATGGCTAAGTACTGTCCGCAGGACCACCATACTGATATATTTATAATAACAGAATGCTTTGCATAATTTTTATAATTAGCCTCCCTTATATTGGTGGCAAACCAGGAGTATCCATTATTTTAGGTGGTACTTCATAGCAAATGCTGTTCTAGCAGTTTTTTTGTTAATGTGTTTTTGTTGTTGTTGTTGTCATTGTTTTGAGACAGTCTCTGTTGCCCAGGCTGGAGTGCAGTGGTACGACCTCGGCTCACTGCAACCTCCAACTCCTGGATGCAAGTGATTCTCATGTCTCGTCTCATCCTACTGAGTAGCTGGGATTACAAGCATGCACCAATATGCCTACCTAATTTTTGTATTTTTAGTAGAGATGGGGTTTCACCATGTTGGCCAGGCTGGTCTTTAACTCCTTACCTCAAATGATCCACCTGCCTCAGCCTCCTTTGCAAAGTGCTGGGATTACAGGCCTAAGCCACCAGGACTGCTACTGTGTTTTTTATTTGATGCAGCATTTGTAGGGCTTTTTAAAAATGAAATAAGCCATTCTTAAGGAGACAATGGAAATGGCTGGGTAATTTGTCAAAGGGAAAGGTGAGTTAAAGGGCAGCCTGAGTGTATGGATCTGGGGCCTTGTAAGCCTTCAAATTCAATCTGGGAGATTGTACTTCAATCTGGGAGATTTTCTTAAAGCTAAATTGGAGAATTTTCTTAAAGCTAATTTGGTTTCCAGAATCAAATGTTTAACTCCAGTGTGGACTACAAATACCCAAGTCATCCTTGCGAAAGCAATTCTTTCATCTAGAAACAGAGTCTTCATATCTTAGTGTAGTTTTGGTCTTAAAGAGAGGAAGGCGTAAACTTTTAGCTGATTTCCCCAAGCATCACCTGCTTATTCTTTTAGACACTTTCAGGGTATCCACGAGTAATTATGCAATTTTTTTCTTACAGATCCAGTGCCCTACCTGCCAATTCATCTGGTGTTTTAAGTGCCACTCTCCTTGGCATGAAGGTGTTAACTGCAAGGAGTACAAAAAAGGAGACAAATTGTTGCGTCACTGGGCCAGCGAAATTGAGCATGGGCAGAGGAATGCCCAGAAGTGTCCAAAGTGCAAGGTGAGATAACTTTTAGGAGAAAAAGAAAAAACATGTGCATCTGGATATGACTGAACAGTATTTACAATATTGAAGCGAATTATAACTGTCTTAATGCAGGTAGGTAGAAAAAGAGTATTTGCTCTTTTATTTTAGAAAAGTATATAATTAAACTGAACATTTTTATAAACAATGTATATTCTTATTTGCATTACACTTCTAAATTTAAAGAGGCCACATATAAATATTAACTTAAGACATTGATGTCCTTATATTACATTGAAAAATGAGGATGTACTTTATAGGAAAAGTACAGCATAAAAGTGATATGAAAGTATTATTTCTAGCCTGCCACATGTACTATAATTACTTCTCAATTATATAGGCTCTGAATACTTGCAATCTTTTGCTTTTCTTTCCCTGCTGCCATTGCTGATCACTTAAAATTTACATTAAATTAAACTGATTCTTTTTTTTTTTTTTTTTTTTTTTTTTTGGTAAATCTGGTGATGTAAAAGCTCGTAGCTAAAATCAGGACTTAGGGACTTTATGAATCCCACTTTTCATCCTTCTTTTGGTAATCATGCAAGTAATCAAGACTTAGCAGGCAATTTGAGCTCAGACTTAGTAAATCCAACCAGAAAGCTTTGGATTTGATGTTTATACTGTAGGGATATGTTGAAATTTGAGAGTTTAAAAAAATCTTACTTTAGAAAATCATATGTGTGTATATATGTGTGTGTATACTTTGCAATACGTGGTTTCTACTCCTTGCCAAATTTATTTTTGGAAATAATCTCTAAATTGGGCTAATTATCTTTTAAGCCCAATTCTGCAATTTCTTCTTGGAGACTTAACACCAGATAAATGAAACTTGAGTTATCAGAAATTTTTAAAAATTTAATAATTATGAATACAATTGGAAGTAAAAGTACATTCTAAGCCTATAAATGAACATAATAATAATAAATGTACAGATTTATTATACAAAATTCGCATGGTAGTTTATAAATATAGTAAGGAAAAAGTATTGTTTGAAATAATTATGTTGCGTTTTTAGAAAATGGAAGAAATTTTTGAAATAGTTTAGATGACATGGCTTTCTTAGAAGTGATGTCTAAAGATATTTGGCCTGAAGTTTTCCTTGTAGAAGGCAAATTCATCGCAATCACCCATTTAGTTTTAGGGTTATTTCAGATCACTGCATTGGTTGCTGAGTACACTTATTTTTCATTCTATTAAAGAACACCTAGAAAATGAAGCCTTTCTTTGCTTTCTCTTGCCTTTTTAGTTTATTCAAAACTACTTCTCAGTTTTAAACAAAACAAAGACCAATAGGAACTTCGAGTACTGTTAAATTATACTACTTAACAGTTATTCATAAATATACTTTATATTCTTTGGAAAGCTGTAAAAGCAATTACAAGTTAGCCTGGTTCTAAAACTGGATTTTGAATGAACACCACTGCAGCATTATGCATTGGGGAAATTCTGAATGAACAGATGTAACACAAAATACGTACATTTATGACTGTAATCTCTTAACACAACCTTAAATGGACTCTGATGTAAAGAAAGAAAAGGAAGTCAACCTTGGGGAATTTACTGACTGCACTAACAGCCTCCCACAGGTGTAACGAATGTAGATAAACAGTTAAGATAAAGTATAAATGCTGCTTCTCCTTTGAAGTAATAGCTAAAAGGTCAGGGCTTTAAAAGGGATTACCTTTAAAATAGCTGAAAAAAAAAAAAAAAGAACCATGAAATCAGTTTACGTTATTATATTGTAGCAGAGAACCTACTTTCTGGTGAGATTTGGGTTCTATGAAGTTTATGTCTGTTTAAGTCATATTTTATGACTTGTTTTGAGTATAAATCGTTTCATTTTTCTTTCTCTTTTAAGCATGACTTTAAAGCTTTATATATACTTCTGATCTTTTCCATTGGATGATAAAATTATATTTCCCCCCCCAAGGAAACATTTCTTTCTTTTTTTTTTTTTTTTTTTTCTTTTTGAGACTGAGTTTCGCTCTTGTTACCCAGGCTGGAGTGCAATGGCTCAATCTCAGCTCACCTCAACCTCCGCCTCCTGGGTTCAAGCAATTCTCCTGCCTCAGCCTCCCAAGTAGCTGGGACTACAGGTGTGTGCCACCACGCCCAGCTAATTTTTGTATTTTTAGTAGAGACAGGGTTTCACCATGTTGACCAGAATGGTGTCAATCTCATGACCTCATAATCCACCCTCCTTGGCCTCCCAAAGTGCTGGGATCATAGGCGTGAACCACTGTGCCCTGCCAAACATTTCTATTATTATAACAAACCCATGAGGAGATAATACTCAATAAATTAATGTTTGTTTTATACTGCAAGTCTTTTTTTAAATAAATATATCTTTTACCACTTATAAATATAAAATAGGAAGATGGTAGGAGTTTCCGAAAAAGAAATGAACAATTTGTCACATAATGCCTCCAGGTAAACAATTATCATATATTTTCATATAAATGCTTTCAAGCGTGATAACCAAATGTATTTAAAATTTTGTTATGAAAGTATATATATATGTACCCTACTATAGGTATAAATTAAATTAGTTCATAGTTTTAGTAAATATTGTTATTTATTTATTTAATTGGAGACAAAGTCTTGCTCTGTTCCCCAGGCTGGAGTACAATGGCACGATCTTGGCTCACTGCAACCTCCACCTCCCAGGCTCAAGCAATTCTCAGGCCTCAACCTCCCAAGCAGCTGGGATTGCAGGCATGAGCCACCATGCCTGGCTAATTTTTGTTTTTTTAGTAGTCACAGGGTTTCACAATTTTGGCCAGGCTTGTCTCAAACTCCTTACCTCAAGTGGTCCACCGCCTTGGCGTCCCAAAGTGCTGGGATTACAAGTGTGAGCCACAGCGCCAAACCGTATTTTGATTTTCAAATGATTTGTTTATAAAGGTGATGTAACATGAGATAGAAATTTTGAAAGAGAGGCAAAATATTCACCCAGATCCTTCTGCTCCAGTATACTCACTCCTAACATCTTATTATATGTCCCTGGTCTTTCCCCTATTTAAATGACTTTTTAAAAAGTTTTAGTTGTAGCATTCAAATAATTTAACATCCTTAGTTTTTTCACCTAGCACTGCAAGCATTTCTCGTATTACTAAACAGTTTTGTAAACATTTACTTCATTAAACATCAACTGTGTAACACTTGCTTAAATATTCCTTCACTCTTGGATGCCAAGGCTTACTTGGTTTGTTCTGGGATTTTTTTAAAAATTGTGTATTATAAATAATGTGTTGATGATATTCATCTTGAATATATTTTTACCATATTTTATACCTTGAAAGCATATATATCTAAAGGTAGAATGACTGGATAT